CACGGGCCTGGCCTGCAGCATAGGCTCTGTGACGTTCCTTGTCTTCCAGATGAGATCACGGTGGAGGGGTGCCAGGCCGCAGGGGGTGGAGTTAGGGTTTGAACTCCAGGGTCTGAGACGAGAAGTGTGTGCCTGCCTGCCCCAGTTCAGGGCCCGTGGGTGCGCGTGGCCTTCCATGTCACCCATTGCTTTTCTCATGCCTGCGTCTGCCTTGTGCTGACCCCTGGCCTGGTGGCGTGGACAGCGGACGGCTCCTTGCATCAGAGTGACAGGCGCTGCTGTCCTGGCTCTGCCTCTCTGCCTCAGAACCACCAGGAAGGTGGTGCCAGGGCTCCCTGGGAACCCACTGCTCAAAGCCTAGGCCACAGCCCCAGGTGGCCACACGCGTGCTCACGAGGCCCCTCGCCAGATCCATCAGGGACAGCCAGGCCTCCACAGAAAGGGGGTCCCACCTCTGAGGGCCCCGACCGCAGGGCAGGCCATTATCTTCTGTCTAACGGGGTACCTGTTCTTCCCTTCCAGGACCCGTATTTCATGAAAAACCACCTGGGCTCCTATGAATGCAAGCTCTGCCTAACGCTTCACAACAACGAGGTGCGGCCCGTGCTGTCCCCTCGGCCTCGAGTCACGCGTGTTTCCTGCCCCGTGTCTGTCCCCTCGGCCTCGAGTCACGCGTGTTTCCTGCCCCGTGTCTGTCCCCTCGGCCTCGAGTCACGCGTGTTTCCTGCCCCGTGCTGTCCCCTTGGCCTCGAGTCACGTGTGTTTCCTGCCCCGTGTCTGTCCCCTCGGCCTCGAGTCACGCGTGTTTCCTGCCCCGTGTCTGTCCCCTCGGCCTCGAGTCACGCGTGTTTCCTGCCCCGTGCTGTCCCCTCGGCCTCGAGTCACGCGTGTTTCCTGCCCCGTGTCTGTCCCCTCGGCCTCGAGTCACGCGTGTTTCCTGCCCCGTGTCTGTTCCCTCGGCCTCGAGTCACGCGTGTTTCCTGCCCCGTGCTGTCCCCTCGGCCTCGAGTCACGCGTGTTTCCTGCCCCGTGCTGTCCCCTCGGCCTCGAGTCACGCGTGTTTCCTGCCCCGTGTCTGTCCCCTCGGCCTCGAGTCACGCGTGTTTCCTGCCCCGTGTCTTGCCCCCTCGGCCTCGAGTCACGCGTGTTTCCTGCCCCGTGTCTTGCCCCCTCGGCCTCGAGTCACGCGTGTTTCCTGCCCCGTGTCTGTCCCCTCGGCCTCGAGTCACATGTGTTTCCTTTCCACTCCAGGGGAGCTACCTGGCACATACCCAGGGGAAGAAGCACCAGACCAACTTGTGAGTACCTCGCCCGCGTCTCACCGGCTGCTCCAGCAGCCCGTCTCCATGAGCCCCCGGGCCATGGCTCCACAGCGTGGAAACCAGCCTGGCCTGGGCCTGAATGGGCGCTGGAGTAAGGTCTCTGGGGAGCATTAGGGAGCATAGGCTGTATTGCTGAGGTGGGTGGATCACCTGAGGTCAGGAGTTCGAGACCAGCCTGGCCGACATGGTGAAGTTCCATCTCTACTAAAAATAGAAAACTCAGCTTGGCACAGCAGTGCACACCTGTAATTCCAGCTACTCTGGAGGCTGAGGCAGGAGAATCTTGAACCTGGGAGGCGGAGGTTGCAGTGAACCAAGATGGTGCCATTACACTCCAGCCTGGGCAACAAGAGTGAAACTCTGTCTCAAAAAAAAAGAGAAGAGCAGAGGCGTGGGGTTGTGGGAAGGGCCCCAGGCAGGGACAGTGCAGCGTGACAGGAAGAGAACATCCCTGTCCCACCCCTGTCCTGGTCCAAACCCCAGGGCCCCCGGCCCTCCTCATCCCTTGGTGTGTAGTGAGCTCTGAGGTCGGGGCTACCAGTCCCTGGGCCCGTGTCCCTGGTGCCTGTGCGTGGAGGGCCCCAGCACCATGTCCATCCTGCCCGCAGGGCCCGGCGAGCCGCCAAGGAGGCCAAGGAGGCCCCCGCCCAGCCTGCGCCTGAGAAGGTCAAGGTTGAGGTGAAGAAGTTTGTGAAGATCGGCCGCCCCGGCTACAAGGGTGAGTCTGCCGCCTCGTGAATGGGTTTGGGCTCCGGCACGGGAGCCACAGCCCTGAGACCCCGTCCCCGAGCTGCTGTTTGATGGCCTTGGCGGCCATCCTTCACCCGCCTGCAGCGTCTGGAGCTGTGTCTGGGAGCTGTCAGGCTGGACGCGATAAGCACCCATCTCACCCAGTGGCCCCTTTCCCAGCTAAGCCCCAGTCTGTGCCCTCCTTGCCTGGCCGCCTCTGTGCCTGGGGCTCCTGGTATGTGAGTGGCAGCCCCTCTGCCTCGCAGTCCAGTGTTGTAGAAGCTTCTGGGAATTCTTGCCAAGCAAGAGTGGAAGTGGGGGTGTGGCGAGCCTGACGCCTCTCTCCCATTAACCTTGAAACTGGGTTCCACTCGTCTTAGCCTCGGAAGGAAGAGGACGGGGAGCAGCGGCTGTTAGGGGCGGCTCCGTCTGGGACCCTCAGCAGTGGAAATGGTTGCCAGTTCAGAAAGCTGCGATGGAAGATAGAGACGTGTGTCCGCAGGGGGCGGGAAGGCGGGGACGCCCTGTGTGCCCGGCCTCCCGACAGCAGCGTGTAGGGCAGAGGCCCGGGGCAGGTGCGATGGATGGCGAGGGCAGGTGCAGCTTGAGCTGCAGGCCCCGGCCGGGAGGCCCTGACAGGTCCTGGGCTTGGGCTCAGGGCAGTGGGGAGGCAGGGGGCTTGTGAGTGTGCATGCCGGACACTGCGTGGAGAGAGCCAGGTGGCCTGGCAGGGACTCAGCCCCCACCCCAGCAGCCGTTCCTGGGGTCCAGGCGGCTGAGCGCTCACCCCACACACGTGTGGGCCCTGTTCAGGCAGCCCCACTTGAGTCCCAGAGCAGGGTGCCGAAGGGCCCTTCCTGCCCGGTGACCCTGACTGGCTGGTGGTGTCCCAGCACCCGAGGGTGAAGAGCTCTGAGGATGGGGACAAAGGAGCACCCACCTCGGTCCCTGCCTGAGTGACTCGCAGGTAGCTCAGCCCTGGCGCACCTGTGCCTTCACTATAGCAGCGTCCCAGAGACCAAGAGCACAGGCAGAGTCCAGCGGCTGCCTGGAGGCCCAGGGCCTCCCCCGGGGTCCTGCCCTCTCTCAGTGGGTGGCACTAGCCCGTCCCAGGTCCCTGAGCTTCAGGGAGGACAAGCGGCTGGGACCTGAGAGCCTTCTGTGTTGCAGTGACCAAGCAGAGGGACTCGGAGATGGGCCAGCAGAGCCTCCTCTTCCAGGTGAGCTCAGGGGTCCGGGCGTGGGGGGCGGCCATAGGCGTCCAACAGGCGGCGCTGCCACCCGGCCGTGTCTCTGCAGATTGACTACCCTGAGATCGCTGAGGGCATCATGCCACGCCACCGCTTCATGTCCGCCTACGAGCAGCGGATCGAGCCCCCAGACCGGCGCTGGCAGTACCTGCTGATGGCCGCCGAGCCCTACGAGACCATTGCCTTCAAGGTAGCGTGGCTGCGGATGCCAGGCTGTTGGGGGGGCTTCCCTCAGCCTGTGCCCACACCTGGCCAGGGCGGCCATCAGGAAACTGTAGACAGTGACTGCGCAGGGTGGGCTGGCATTGAGGCCAGCTCCGTTTCACTCCAGAGTGAACCCTGTGTCCGGAGGGTTGTGTCAGGCCGGGGCCTTCCCATGGGCTCCCAGGGTGTGGTCCGGGCCGGGGAGGCTGGGCCTCGGGATGGGTTGAGCTCCCTGCCTGATGGCGGCCCTGAGGTCGCAGGGATCAGGAAGGAGCCCTCTGTCCCCTGCCCTCCCAGGTGCCGAGCAGAGAGATCGACAAGGCGGAGGGCAAGTTCTGGACGCACTGGAACCGGGAGACCAAGCAGGTTAGTGGCTGGCCTGGTCACCTTGACTCCCGCCCACTGGGGCCCTGGCAGCCCAGTCCCCAGCCGCACCTGCTGATCCTTCTTCGTCTCTAGTTCTTTCTCCAGTTCCACTTTAAGATGGAGAAGCCCCCGGCTCCGCCCAGCCTCCCTGCCGGGCCTCCTGGGGTGAAGCGGCCTCCACCCCCGCTGATGAACGGTCTGCCCCCTCGGCCACCGCTGCCCGAGTCTTTGCCACCACCCCCACCAGGAGGCCTGCCTCTGCCACCCATGCCCCCCACAGGGCCTGCGCCCTCAGGGCCCCCAGGACCACCTCAACTGCCCCCGCCAGCTCCAGGGGTCCACCCCCCGGCCCCAGTGGTGCACCCCCCCACATCTGGGGTCCATCCCCCAGCTCCTGGGGTCCATCCCCCAGCTCCTGGCGTCCATCCCCCAGCCCCTGTGGTGCACCCACCAACCTCTGGGGTCCATCCCCCAGCCCCTGTGGTCCACCCTCCAGCCCCCGGGGTTCACCCACCTGCCCCCGGGGTTCACCCACCAGCCCCCGGAGTCCACCCACCAGCCCCGGGGGTCCACCCTCCCCCAGCAGCAGTTCACCCCCAGGCCCCAGGGGTGCACCCAGCAGCCCCGGCCGTTCACCCTCAGGCCCCGGGGGTGCACCCACCAGCCCCGGGGGTGCACCCACCAGCCCCAGGGATGCACCCTCAGGCCCCAGGGGTCCACCCCCAACCTCCCGGGGTCCATCCATCAGCTCCTGGGGTCCACCCTCAGCCTCCTGGAGTTCACCCCTCAAATCCTGGGGTACACCCCCCAACTCCCATGCCCCCAATGCTGAGGCCCCCACTCCCCTCCGAAGGCCCAGGGAACATACCTCCCCCTCCCCCAGCCAACTGAGAAGCTGCTCCCTTCCCAGCAAGCCCGGCCCAGGTGCTCCTGCCTTTCCCAGGGAGGGAAGGCTGCTCTTTGTAACTGTCCCCACTCATTAAACGGCCTCCCCCAGCCCTGAGTGCCCGGATTCTGCAGCGCCGCCCTCCGTGTGAATGCCGTGTGGGAGTGCCAGGCAGGGCACCATCCCAAGTTGGGCGACTGGGGAGGGCTTGGGGCCCACCAGGAGACACCCATGGGAGCCTGAGAGGCAGCTGTGCCCTGGAGGTGGCCTGGTGGAGGACAGACCCCACCAGTCGGCTAGGAGTATGTCTGGGGTCATGTCCTGGGGAAGGAAGAGCAGCCTCCAGGATACCCTTGTGGTCTCCAGATAGCCCAGTAGGGGTGGGGAGGGTGAACCGGACAGGGAGCCCCTGCCCTTGGGGTCTCCAGATAGCCCACTAGGGGTGGGGAGGGTGAACAGGGGACAGGGAGCCCCTGCTGACTTGGGACCCTGCTCGACGCCCAGCACCCGGGACATCTGGTTCCCCACCACCACCACTGTAGTCTGGCTGCACTCCTGTGCCTTCTGGGGACGGGCCCTCAAGGACAGCCTGTTGACACATTAGGCCCAGTTCTATCACTGCCGGGGAGGGAGATAGGCTGCCGGCGACAAAGGCATCTTTGAGAAGGCCACTTTGCCTGGAGTGTGGGCGCCCGGCAGTGTCCCCCAAGGTCGCGGCAGAGGAGATAAGGGCCCGTCCGCCTGCACAAACACCCACCTTCCGCTTGGCCCACTTAAGGCGGGCAGCCCAGCCCCTCACATCACCCACAATGGGGGGCACGCCTCTCACCCGCCTGGCCCTGGTGCTGTCTGCCCTGGGGGCTCTGCTAGAGACTGAGACCCTTGGAGCAGAGGAGCCAGCTGTGGCCACTGGTGGCCTCATCTTTGAAGAGGTGGACTGGCCGCAAGGCAGCCCCCAAGAACCTCTGTGCCTAGTGGCACTGGGTGGGGACAGCAATGGCAGCGGCACCCCCCTGCGGGTGGTGGGGACTTTGAGAAGCTATGAGCAGGCCTTCCTGGGAGCCGTGCAGCGGGCCCGCTGGGGCCCCCAAGACCTGGCCACATTTGGGGTCTGCAGCCCCGGAGACAGGCAGGCTGCCCTGCTCTCTCTGCAGCGGCTGGGGGCCTGGCTTCGGGGACCTGGGGGGCAGCGCCTGGTGGTCCTGCACCTGGAGGAAGGTACGTGGGGCCCAGCAGGCTGGCGGTGGTCCTAGGGAAGATTGGGGGCTGGCAGAGCCCCCACCCCGGGCCAGGAGGCTGTGGTCTTGCTCCTGGGTCTGGGCTGTGGATCTGTGGCCTGGGAGGTGGGCACCACTCTGTCCTGTCCCTGAAGCCCAGTTCTCAGACCTGTGCCTGCCACAGTGCCAGAGAGACAGGTGTGCCCATCTTGCCACCCATGAAGAAGCACAGGGACCTTCCTCCCCATAGCCCCATACCCAGGTAGCCTGTTCTTAGGGCCACTACCCTGGGAGACTCCCTAAGGGGAAAGGACTTCATCGGGAGCCCCAACCCAGAGACCATGGGGGGCAGCCTCAGACTCGGCCCCTGCCCGCCCGGTTGTCACCGCTCCTTGGCTGCAAGAAGCCAGTGAAGAGAGTCACCCTCGTGCCCCCTCGAGGTCCCCTGCACAGCAGCCAGGGCAGGGATGGACCCCAAAGGCCCCCAGAGGGATGTGGGAGGCTCCTGGCCTTCAATGGCTCAGGTGTTCCCTGCTGTCCCGGCTGCAGTGACATGGGAGCCGACACCCTCGCTCAGGTTCCAGGAGCCCCCGCCTGGAGGAGCTGGCCCCCCGGAGCTGGCGCTGCTGGTGCTGTACCCTGGGCCTGGCCCCGAGGTCACTGTGATGAGGGCTGGGCTGCTGGGTTCCCAGGTACCAGGGAGTTTCATGGGGCAGTTCCGCAGCGCAGCAGGGGTGTGGATATGTTGCCGGGTCTGCGGTGCTGAGAGCAACTTAGAGCCAGTGGCGATGGGAGGAAGGGGTAAGCCACCCAGCCGGGCTGAGCCCTGCTCTCCGCAGAGCCTCTGCCCGTCCCGAGACACCCACTACCTGGTGCTGGCGGTGGACCGCCCCGCGGGAGCCTGGCGCGGCTCCGGGCTGGCCTTGACCCTGCAGCCTCGAGGAGAGGGTAGGTCCGGGTGGAGAGGGACCGGGCGCTAGGTCGGCTGCCCCCGGCCCCCAGCGTCTGAGCCAGCCCCGGCCCCCCCACCGCAGGCGCCCCCCTGAGTACGGCCCGGCTGAAGGCGCTGCTATTCGGCGACGACCGCCGCTGCTTCACGCGGATGACCCCGGCCCTGCTCCTGCTGCCGCGGTCCGAGCCCGCGCCGCTGCCCGCACACGGCCAGCTGGACACCGTGCCCCTCCCTGCACCCAGGGGCGCGCAGGCCCGGGGGCATGGGGCAGGAGCAGGCGGGGGCGGCGTGGCCTCGCGCCCGCCCCCAACTCTCCCCACTGCGGGTTCCAGGCCATCCGCGGAGCTCGAGGAGTCGCCGCCCAGCGCAGACCCCTTCCTGGAGACGCTCACGCGCCTGGTGCGGGCGCTGCGGGGCTCCCCGGCCCGGGCCTCGACGCCGCGCCTGGCCCTGGACCCGGATGCGCTGTCCGGCTTCCCGCAGGGTCTGGTCAACCTGTCGGACCCCGCGGAGCTGGAGCGCCTGCTCGACGGCGAGGAGCCGCTGCTGCTGCTGCTGCCGCCCGCCGCGGCCACCGCCTCCGGGGACCCCGCGCCCCTGCAAGAACCCGCGTCGGCGCCGTGGGCCACGGCCCTGGTGCGCCGCGTGACTGCCGAGCTGCAGGCGGCGGCTGCCGAGCTGCGCGGCCTCCCGGGTCTGCCTCCGGCCGCAGCCCCGCTGCTGGCGCGCCTTCTCGCGCTCTGCCCAGGCGGCCCCGGCGGACCCCTGCGAGCGCTGCTGCTCCTGAAGGCGCTGCAGGGGCTGCGCGCGGAGTGGCGCGGCTGGGATCCGCGCGGGCCGGGGCGGGCGCAGCGCAGCGCGGGGGCCACCGCCGCCGACGGGCCGTGCGCGCTGCACGAGCTCAGCGTGGACCTCCGCGCCGAGCCCTCCGTCCTCATCCCCGAGACCTACCAGGCCAACAACTGCCAGGGCGCGTGCGGCTGGCCGCAGTCCGACCGCAACCCGCGCTACGGCAACCACGTGGTGCTGCTGCTGAAGATGCAGGCCCGCGGGGCCGCCTTGGGGCGCCCTCCCTGCTGCGTGCCCACCGCCTACGCGGGCAAGCTGCTCATCAGCCTGTCGGAGGAGCGCATCAGCGCGCACCACGTGCCCAACATGGTGGCCACCGAGTGTGGCTGCCGGTGACCCACGCGCCGCGCGAGCCCCTGTCCCGAGGGGCCGGAGGCGCCCCAGCTCGCACCCCTTCCCATATTTATTCCGCCCCCAATAAAGACCAGCAAGTAACCGGTGGGGTGTCCTTGCATGTTCCGGAGCCCGAAGGCCTCCCCTCCCGCGCACGCCCGGGTCCGCCCCATCGGCGCTCACTGTCTCGCCCGCCTGGAGCGCCCCACCACGGTCTTTGAGGCCTCGGACTCGGTGCCGGGTTCAGGCGTAAAGGAGCAGGTGACTCGGCGGCCGCAGCACTCGCTTTATTTCGCCAGAGCCGCGGGACGTCGAGAAGGGGTCCCTGTGCTGGTGCGCGGGGCGCGGGCCGGCTCAGTCCCGCCCTTTGCCTGCGCGGAGCCTCTGGCGGCTCCGAGGCCGCTCCTCCTCGTCCGGACGCCGCGGGGAGACCCAGACCTGCCTCTTCTTGGGCTCGGCGTCCCTGGAGTCCCGCGCCCATGGCCTGTGGCTCCCTTCGCGCGACTCCCAGCGCCGGGGTAGGGCTTCCCGGGGCCTCCCCTCCTTCCGCGGCCTCTCTTTCTTCGGCCTCTCCTCCTTCCGCGGCTTCTCCTTCCGCGGCTTCCCCTCTCTCCGAGGCCTCTCCTTGGGCCCCCGGTCGGCGAGGGGCGCTCGGTCCTCCCCGGCGGCCTCTCCGGTGGCCTCTCCAGGCTCCCCTTCGTCCTTCTCTGAAGCCTCCCGACTCCTGGGAACCTTGGGTCTGGCCTCTGCCTCGGCCGGGGGCGCAGGCGGCTCGGATGGGGACGCCGAGGTCTCCAATTTCGGCTGCAAGGCAGACACAGTGGGGTTCTGGGGTGAGCGCCCCCCTTCCCCCCACCCCGTCCCGGGCTCGTTTCCTGGGGATGAAGGCCTCACTGCCCGCGGTCACTGGAGCGCTTACCAGCGGCGACGATGGCTCCCTCGGGGCCGAGCTTGGCGGGACCCAGGGCTCGGGCGCGGGCGCATGGACTGCAGCGTCCCCAGCCACGGCGTCTACAGCGACAGGGTCAGGACCCGAGTCAGCCGGGCCGAGGCTCGGACCCCACTGTCCGTCCTCCCTCGCCCCTAGAGCCCCCCTCCGCAGACGGGTGGAGTGAGGCTCCCCAGGGTACCGCTGAGGCTAAGGATGCCCCCAGCCGTGGGAAGGGACTCCAGGACTCTGCGGGGCGCCCCTCCTCCGAACGTCGCTCTTTCTTTTCTATTTATTTATTTATCCTGAGACGGAGTTTCGCTCTTGTCACCCAGGCTGGAGTGCAATGTCGCGATCTCGGCTCACCGCAACCTCCGCCTCCTGGGTTCAGGCAATTCTCCTGCCTCAGCCTCCCGAGTAGCTGGGATTACAGGCACGCGCCACCATGCCCAGCTAATTTTTTGTATTTTTAGTAGAGACGGGGTTTCACCATGTTGACCGGGATGGTCTCGATCTCTTGACCTCGTGATCCACCCGCCTCAGGCTCCCAAAGTGCTGGGATTACAGGCGTGAGCCGCCGCGCCCGGCCAGAACCTCGCTCTTTCCGTTGGTCATTCTCCCCCCAGCAAGAGAGGGGGCGCAGGAGTTGCCCCGGGAGGCGCTCACGAGCAGAGCTGTCCCCGAAGAGGGCGCAGGAGGACCGCGGCCGAACGCTCCGCGGGAGGAGGGGGTGCGCGAGGTCCATCCCGAAGCCAGAACTTCCTCGCGGCGGGGGGAGTGGGCCCCGCGCAAGGTCCACCCGGGGTGACAGGGGGCGCGCAAGACCCAGCCCCGGGAAGGCGGCTCCGCGACCCCACCCTCGTGACCCAGGGCCCTTCCCTGGAGGAGACGGCGCGCGGGTGGACCCCAGCCCCGCCCCACCGCTGGGGAGCCCGCGCTCACCGCGGCACAGCTGGAAAGCCGAGCCCAGCAGCGCCACCAGCGAGGCGAGCACCAGGCACTGGTTGAGCGACACGTCTCCCCAGGGCAGCTCCTCGCTCAGGGCCGGGGGCGGCGGCGGCGGCTGCGGGGGCGGCGCGCTCTGCGCCTTCTTGCGCGCGGGGGCGCTCCGAGGACCTGCGGGGACAAGTGCGCGCTGCGCTGTGGCCTCTGGTTCCGCGCCGCCCCTTCCCCGGGCGCAGAGGCCAAGAGGGAGGCCCGCGCCCTGAACCCGGCCCCGGGTGCCCCGCAGCTGCCTGGGGATGCCCCGAGTTTCTGGAAGAGAACTGCCCGGAGCTGAGCGGCTTAGCGGGGATTAGGAGGAATTAGTGAAGGCTCCCGGCCCGTCTACTCCTGCCTGCCGCCCTTCGCCACCACTCAACGGCGACACCCCCCACCCTTCCCCGGATCCAAGGACCCAGTTCCCGGGACCTGGGCCTCACACCGGTCGCACCCCCCACACCGCACCCAGGCCTCCAGCAAACCCACTGGCTCCGGCTTTCAGCCTCTCCTTCCCCGTTCCTGGGGTCCCTTTGGCTGCGGGTTCTTTTTCCATCTTCGGCCTGGTGTCCACACTGCGACCCTCAGCCCTCGGCTCCTGAGAGTCCTGTGGGAACCGTGAGACGTTCCGCCTGTTTCCTTCCAGTGCCAAAGCCTCCCCGTGGGCTTTTGAAACCTTCTCCCTTGGCCCGAGCGCCCCCAGCTCTCCAGACCTCCTGGGTTAAAGGCTGAGGGGTCCCAGCTACTCACGTGGGACAGGCTCCCGCTCCCGGAGTCGGCCAGCCTGGGTGTCCCTGTGGGAACAGAGGGAGCGTCAAGGTTGTGGGGACCCCCAGGCCAGTCCCACCCTCTCCCCTAGCTCTGCTGGGTGATGTGCAGGTGACGATCCCCATCTTATAGATAAGAAAGCAGGCGGAGGCCAGGCGCGGTGGCTCACACCTGGAATCGCAGCACTTTGGGAGGCTGAGATGGGAGGATCACCTGAGCCCTGGGCAACACAGTGAGACCCCATCTGTGCAAAAAAGAAAATTTTTAAAGAAAATAGCGGCCGGATGCGGTGGCGCACACTTGTAATCCCAGCACTTTGGGAGGCCGAAGTGGGTGGATCACCTGAGGTCAGGAGGTCAAGACCAGCCTGGCCAACATGGTGAAACCCCATCTCTACTAAAAATTCAAAAATTAGCTGGGCGTGGTGGTGCGTGCCTGTAATCCCAGCTACCTGGGAGGCTGAGGCAGGAGGATCCCTTGAGTCTGGGACGTCGAGGCTGCAGTGAGCTGTGATCACAGCACTGCACTCCAGCATGGAAGACAGAGTGAGACTCTGTCTCAAAATAATAATTAATAATAAAAACGTTAAAAACACAAAGAAAGCAGACAGGCTCAGTGACAGCACCTGGTATCCTTGAGGGTTCCTTACAGACCCCTGAGGCAGAAATGAGGGCCAGGGGTTGAACATGGGAGCACAGCGGAAGCCAGTCCAGCGTGGGAGGCTGAGCTGTTCTCTGAAGATGGGCCTCCCGGCTCAAGGGGGCCGCCGGGGAGGGGCTTCCTCCCACCAGTGCCACGAGGGTACCTGGAGCCCTGTCCTCCTGGGGCTTGGCCAGCGCCGAGTGGTCCTCCAGGGCCTGGCAGCTGCCCAGGCCCCCATCCAGCTCCTCCCACGCTCTGGTTGTCATGGAGATGGCCGGAGCAGCAGCAGGTCCAGGCCAGGCTGGGAGGGGTGGGAGCAAAGCCTGGCCTTTACCGAGTCCCCACACGGGCCTGGGCCTGACCTGGAGGTTCTGCAGACCTGGATGAACAGGTCCCGTCCTCCCCCCGCCCAGCCTGTGGTCTCTGCCTGGAGCACCCCTCACTCATGCAAGACATGGCTGGGTGCCCACAGGCACCTCCCTGAGCCCCATGCCTGCCCTGGGGCCCCTCCCTGGGGCCCGGCCTTGCTGGGGCCTCTTATCCATCGGCACAGCAGCCAAGGCTGTCCTGGCCCAGAGAGGGCAGGAGCTCCCGCAAGGCCACAAAGCACTCCCCGAACCAAGACTCTTGGCCCTGGCGTCAGCTCATGTTCTCTGAGACCAGGGACTATTTTTATCTGGTGTCGGAGGCCAGCGGGACAGGCTAACAGGTGCCCCAGCCCCTCCCAGGCCTCTGCTCTCACGGGGTCCCCCTCTGGGCCATCCTGACCTGCCATTCTGGGCACCCACATCCCCCCCTTGTGACCCTGTGAGGCTACAGGCTCAAGCCCCAGCAGCAGAACCATCCTGGCTCTGGCGGTGACAGGCGGGGCAGGGGAGAAGGGCCCCGGGAGGAGGGTCCCGGGAGGAGGGTGCTGGGAGGGGGGTCCCGGGAGGTCTTCTGATCCTGACACACAGTAGCTACCTCACTGTCCCACTAACTGTGTTCCCATATGACACATGAGACAGAGCCATGGGCTGGAGGTCCCAAGGGGCTTCGAGTCAGACCCAAAGCTGTATTCTTCAGGGTCACCATGGGCTCTGGCTGCTGGAATTATGGTGCCCCTGTATCTAGGCTGAAAAACCACCCACCCCTGGGGCTCCAAGACCTGGAAGGGGCCTATCTGGTGGCAGTGGGGGAGGGGCCCGACAAGCACGGGAGGCTGGTGTGCAGGCCTCGGATGTGTGTGGGAGCAGCTCCAGGAGTTGGGGACCCTCACGGTCCTCCGCAACACCCTCCCACACCCCAGGAGCCCACACCTCTGCCCGGGGCTCCCCCAGCCTCACTTCCTTACCCCTAGCCTCACTCACCCGCAGCCGGCCGCGCGGAGTCTTGTGGACAGGATGGAGGTGGGGAGGGTGGCCCCGTGATGGATGGCAACAGGTGGCCAGAGACCTCGGGAAGGCCAATCAGCATGGCCGCCGGAGTGAGGTCACTGCCGGGGAGTCCCCCACCCATCCCTGCCATCCCACCAGGGAAGGGGTTGTTGTTACTCAGCGTTTGCCCCTGCCTCGCCAGGGAGAGGTGGTGCCGGCGGCTGGGACTACAGGCGGGCACCACCGCACCAGGCTAATTTTTGTATTTTTAGTAGAGACGGGGTTTCGCCATGTTCACCAGGATGGTCTCGATCTCTTGACCTGGTGATCCACCCGCCTCAGCCTCCCAAAGTGCTGGGATTACAGGCTTGAGCCACCGCGCCCGGCCTAAAACTTTTCTAAACAGGTAAAAGCCATGGAGAGCTGGGACACGCC